ATTGTCATTGTAAACTTTGAGACAATAATTCATTTCTTTGATTTCTTCTTTTTCTTCATAATATTCATCCAGGATTTTTTCACAAGTGTCATAATCACTTTCATCATCTTCTTTAACCAATTGTTGGATTATTTGTTGAATTGACTAATAGATTTTTTCAAAGATCTGAGAAATATTTTCAATATCAATTGGCAGTAGTGATTGTATATCATTTTGGAATGTTTTCAATATTTGTTGAGCTTTATTGGATGAATTTTGATGATTATATTGTAATTCATTTATTAGATCATTGATTTGATTGATTATTATTTCTAGATCATCAATATCTTTTTTTTGCTTGCCTTTATCAATAGAAATTTGTTTTAACTGTACATAATCAGAGCAAAATTCACTATCACATGAAATTAAACATTTTTTTACAAAGTTTGACATTAATATGTTCCAAACGAGCTAGTTGTAACCTTCTTTCTGGTGTAATTTGTTGGTATATTGCTTGGAAGATTTCAGTAGCAGTTGCATCTTCTGGATCATCATATGAAATTATATCCATTTCATTTTTAATATCTTCTTCACAAATATAACGTGATAGAATGATCTTTCCAATCTCATTACATTGGATATATACTGAAATTAATAATTCATAATCTCTCAGTTTTCTAACAGTGTTTCTATTTTGTTGCCATTCATCATAATTAAACCAATATACATATTGTTTAAAGTAATCACAAAAATATTTCTTGTCATAACTACCAGTAATATACATATTTCTGGCTTTATCTCAATGTTCACAATATAAACAAGATGAAAGATTAAGTTTTTTTCTACATGACATTGTTCACAAGCTGTTTTGAAAATATTTTGTGATGTAAGATAAGATCTGGAATAGTATTCTTCCACATACTTTTTACACTTTTCACATCTGACTATTTCAAAGGCTGGATTGATTGCTTGCTGTGCTTCATCAAAGATATCAAAGTGTTAGTCAAGATGTTGGATTCTTAAGTAAAGTTATTTTACTTCATTAGCTCAATCTGCTGGAGTTTTGTTTTCAACTTCATATAGTTTGCATTGCTCAATTGTGATTCATTCAGATAATTAATTTCTACAAGTCATGCACCAATTTTTCGAGGTATACTGTGTTTTAGAACACCAACAAATCTTTTGAGATCCTTGCCAGACAGTTGTCCACTTTTGTCTTTCATACAAAATGTTTTGGAATTTGTTTCTCAACTGTTAACAATCATTTCAAGTATACTTTTTATTTTGAATTTTGATGTTTTCCTGATATACCTAAACATGTTGAATGCTTCTAACACTTTGAATAATTGGTAGAGACACTATTCCAAAGTCTACATACTTATTTTCTCGTTTATAAAAAATAATTGGAGTTCATTCTTTTTTCAAAGCAATTTCAATATTCTCGTCAGATTTTTCTCTTTTCTTTTTATGTTTTATAGTTCTCCAGTCATCCTGGCAATCAAATATTAGGTAGGCTTGTTGATTTAGGTGTTGTTCTTCAATTTCTAGCTCTTTTTTATCTTCTGATTCAGTTGAATTACTGTCAGAATTATCAGAATTTTCCAAATCAATTTGATTGTTTCATCTATGAATATATTTAATTAAAACTTTGTCTTTATGTCCAGCCCATTCAAAGGTCATTATACCTTTCTTCAAATCAATGTTTGCATTGATTTTATGCAAGAAATCCATATCTATAACGACAGTATATGTTCTTGCTTCAGTGACATCAGCTTGAGTTGGAATTACGATTTCATTAATGATAATTGGTAAGTCATCAACAGCTCCAAGTGGTTGTTTGAATTGTTCATCAATATCAATCATAGAAATATTTGATTTTCTTTGTATTTTGATATTCTAACTTTTGAGAAAATAATGTGTTACAACACATTCAGAGACATCAGTATCAATAATAAGATCAATTATAATTCTTCCAACCTTTGCATTACACCAGGTTGAAGTTGTTTTCACATTTGATTCAACATTCCAGTTTTCTTTTTAAGATGAATTTGAGGTGATTTTCTGAGAGCTTTTGACATTTTAATTCATTAAACAGATGAGGTTTCAATTAATTGAGTCACTATAATGTTGACTTTTATATTGGTCAAGTCTTTAGCAATATCATATGGTGTTGTTTTTGTAGCAAGAACTAGAAGAATTGCTTTGTCTTTCTTTTGCTTGGACTTGATTTTTTCAACATTTTCTGTTATAGGAATATTAGAGAGACCTGCATTATTCATATTTTCATCTTCAACAAGAATCACATTGTCTTCTTTATCACTTTCAACTTGTTTACTTTTGACAGGTTTTTTAACAAATGGTTTGTATCTTTCAACTGTTTTTTGCTTCTTTTTACTTGCAAGATAATCATGCTCAGCTAATAATGAGTTGCTAGCATTATTTTGTTTCTCATACATGTTTTGCAAATTTAAATTTAGTACTTGAAGTTGTATAAGAAGAGCTGAATTAGTTTGATTTTGTGTATTTGTTGAAGAAGATGTTTTATTTTGTTGTGATTTTTCTTGACTATTGTTGAATGAATTTTGTTGATTATTATTATTATTTTGACTTTGTCAATTTCTTCCATAAGATGTTTGTTGATTTGAATCTTGTCTTGACTTTGAACAGTTGGGTTTAATATGTCCTTTTTCATCATAATTGTAACAAGTAATTGTTGAACTGTTACTTTGAGAATTCCAGCTTGAATGTTGATTGTATGAGCTATTTCTAGGTCGATTATATGTTCCAGTAATGGTTAACTATTGGATGAGATTTTGAAGAGCTTTTAATATAGCATTCATATTACCATTTGATGTTACTTGAGATTGATAATAATTTCTATTGAAGGTTTCACTTTTAGCTTTTTCTATTCTTTTTGTCACTTCAATAATGTTTGTAAGAGTTCCATCAGTATTTATTTTTATCCATTTCTTGAGTTCTGGTTTCAGTCCATGCCTATATATTCTAACTCTATTGTCATTGTGAATGTAATTGTCTGGATCTGCTTTACAAAGCAGTTCATAGAATTTGTCAGTGTATTCATCAATAATTCCAGTTTGTTGTAATTCTTCTAATTTATCACTTCATTTATCCATCTTTTAGCTCCCATGCCATCTTGGATTCCAAACTCAAACTAATAATTATTATATATACATTAGAGATTTTTAATGTTAACAGAAAAACAAATTACTATAGTCTAACATTACCGTAGTTACAAGAGGAACTGTATTTCTTGATCCTCTACCTGCTGAGACACAGTAATGCCAGGCCTACAATGAATTAAAATGAATGTTATACAAATAATATGATTGCTACACTGTATAAATATAACTTACTCTCATATGGACTGGTACTCGGTCTTGGGGAACTAGATCGATTTTTACGATAATACAATCGTGGGAGCGACCAGGACTCATCCAATATTTCAAAACTTCTTCAGCGTGATCCAATGTTTCAGTGTAGGCTACTTCCACGACCAAATTTGGCCAAGGACGATTCTAAATAAAAAAGGTATATGAAATTACTAGCTTAAAAAGTTCAAAACCAATAAAAAGAACAGAAATTACATCTCTATTGCTCCCATTTGGTGCAGTTACAGCCAGCTTTTTTGGACGAAACGATGCATCGGCTTCTTTTCCACGGTTTCTGTCACGTGTTCCTTTAAGAAATAAAAATTAATACAATGCTACAAACAGAGAAATATGTTATGATATTAATACTTACTAGTAGAACCAGCACCATGAATCTCGGCATTAGTTCCATCAGCATTACTGCATTGTCTATTTATTTGCTTAACAATTGCACTGATGCAAACTTCGTGTGGCATAGAAGGCAACTCATAGATTAAGACTTCTCCGTTTAACCACTCCCAACATCCGTGAATATTGAACTTTTCTACACGCTCTTCATAATCATCAATAGCGATCCCTTTAACAAGCACATAAGGTAATCTTATATATGAATAACAATTTATATCAGCCACTAGCTAAAACAAATATCAACGTCAAACGAGTAGGAAAAGAGACTTACGTTACTTCTTCCCATTAAATTCTCCCTTTTCCCACCACAAGTTTCGATAATAGTTGCAGTCTGACATTCTTTTTGGAACCGCATCAGTACTATCCCTAAGAATATTTCCGAAAAGTTAGCACAAATTTACTTACTCAGTGGCTACAGAGCTAGCACTTGTACTTGACCTTGTTTTGTTGAACTAAAACTATTTATTATAGCGGAATCGAAATGGAAAGGTGAATTCTATGATCGGCGAAAAACATGAAAATTAATCAAAAAAATACCCAATGGGTATATATGTGAGAAATTAGGTCGTACGAAAAACATGTGGATCTAACCTGTCGACTCTGCATGCCACGTTATTTCAAACACATGCTTCGTAAAAAATCTGATTATCATGATCGCGGTTTATAAATGCAGTTGAAATATCTTACTACAAAACGAAATCGATTTTTTCCGGTTTAATGATTGCTTCTCACTTCACGGTGTTTTCGGTTAGGGTACGTATATATCTTCCGAACAAGAAGAGCCCGATTCAGAAGCATCAGAGTTGGTATAGGAATCTGAATCTATAGTGGAATATTTAACCTTACTTCTTTTACACTTATTCTTTTTTCGGCATGAGTTAGAATGAAATTTATGAGAATTAGATAAAACAGATGCTATGGACCTAGAAATCACCTTATTTAGGTTTCGTCCCGCTCTTCTGATTTCTTTATCTAAGTATCTATTTGGAACGGGAGATGGAGGAGCAAAAATCTGATTTATAAAATGATTTCGAGATTTCTTTTCTCAGCTTGAATTATAGATCTAATTATATCTTCATTATCTTTTTGAGATATAGGGTTAGGTGAGTTATTTTTTGTGGAGCTGGCTTTATTAAAATCTTCATCAATTAATGGAATGCTCATATCATCTTTTATAATTTTAGCATAAAGATCAAAACTTTCTTTAGTAAATAAATTAAAGCTCATTTTTACTTCATGTATTCACAATCATCCTTGATTCAATACCAAATTGAATGTTGGATTCTTGTGAATTTTGAAGTATATTGCATCGGTACCAACTAAACTTTGTTATTTTTTTTATAATGAAATTATAAATCTAAGCAATTTACTTTATTTATTATGTTTTTATAGAGATACTCAGCAGGATCACAACTAGAGCATATTTTATAGTTCAATTTAAGTTTATTAAACAGTCTCTTGCTAATAATATTAAACTTTAAGAATATATCTATTAATGTTTTGATTGGAATTTTTTTTCTACAAGAGGATCTATGTGTATTGATAAAAATAATTATATATTATATTGTTATCATTTTACCTTTTATTAACATTATCACATTATATTTTAACATAGTAATATTTATTTAAATTTTTTCTTTTATTTTTACTTTTTTATATTTTTTATATTTTTATCCAATAGCAATAATTTACTTTCTTTCCAATTATTTTACATTATTATCACATCATTTTAGTTTAGATTTCATCATCATTTAATTTACCAATCAATTTATAATATTATCACATCAATTTATATTTTAAATCTTATTGATACTTTATTTTAATTTCTTGTTACATTAATTTAATTAGTGATACATATATTTTACACAAACCCTTTTTAATATTACACAGTAATTATCGTGTTCCAACATGTTATAGATCTTTACTTTTATTAATTTTACTTTGTAATCTATATATTGTTACCGTTTTTATAGTGATAGGCAAAATATTAACTAATTATAATAATTAATTAAAAATTATATAAGAGTGATAATAGTGACTATGTGTACTTGAGAGGGTTGGATACTAGATGGTTGGGAGAGAGTATTAAA